TATATATATATAAAGATGTGAGCACACAGATACTCCAAAACCACACACGCTATACACCTTTCTCTTCTTCAGCCGGGCAAAAGAAAGATGAAGAGGGGGAGAGGTAAAAGACCAGAAATAGAAGGCGGAAAAAAGGGGTAAGGTACCACACAAAAACAGGAAGCGAAAACATTGCAAACAGGCACACGACCAGAGAAGCGGAATAAAACGTAGGATGCTTGACTCGCCTCGCATTTTCTGACATACCAAGCGCGGCCACAGGCAACCAATGAAAGCAAAGAAAGAGAAAAAACAAAAACAAAAAAAAAGCAGAAAGAAATGATGCGGAAGCAACCAAAACATATTTGTGGGCCCAGGCAACGCACAAAACCCGGCAAAACGAGAAAAGGCCTAAGAAAGTGGTGCCCACAATCCCTACACCCCTTTCATAAAAGGGAAACTACTCCCTTTTTGGGACTCTTTGTCTCTCGTCCTCATCCATGCTTGCCACTCCGACCACGAGAGGAGCACATCAAGCGCGCTTTGCTCGTGGCTGTCCACAAGCGCCTCGTNCAACGCACAAAACCCGGCAAAACGAGAAAAGGCCTAAGAAAGTGGTGCCCACAATCCCTACACCCCTTTCATAAAAGGGAAACTACTCCCTTTTTGGGACTCTTTGTCTCTCGTCCTCATCCATGCCTGCCACTCCGACCACGAGAGGAGCACATCAAGCGCGCTTTGCTCGTGGCTGTCCACAAGCGCCTCGTTCACTTCAAGGGCGATATCACGCGGCGACGGCAGCAGCAACTCCGACTCGCTGGCGCCTGTGATTGCTGCTAGTGAGTCAACAAAGACGGCGTGTGCTGCCCCTGCGTCCGGGGTACCGGCAATCAGCGGGCTTACTTTCTCACAGAGGAATAACGACGCCGCTCGCCGGTCAGTTCTCGCGCGCCGCATCGCCTCCATGGCCAGCAGCTTCATCTTGAGTACACTCCCGTGCGGGAGCTGCGCTGCCGCCTCTTCGTATCGCTCGTTAAGGCACATCAGCTGCATCTGTTTACGCTTTTTCATGGCCTCTAGTACGGCGGTAACACCACCACTCCTAGCATCGCCATCTCCTTTTGCACCACTCTCTTCTCTGCTACTAATCTTATCTCCATTGATCGTTTTGTTGTTGCTTTTGCTTTTGTTGTTTGTGTGGTTTTTCAATTCGGTTGCAACGTGGCCGTCCTCCAGGTTTTGGTGGTTACCACACGCTTTCTTTGCTACGCAGTTTTGCGTCATTTTCATCGCCTCCCGCTCCGCCAACTCATCGTTGAGGGCCGTAAGAGAGTTCACGAATCCCCGGCGAATGAAGAATGACTGGAGGATGGAGGAGAGGGCAGTCTCTTCATCGTAGCCCCTGTCTCGTATCACCGCCTCCTCGACGAATCTCCAACCGACAGTGTCGTATGCGCTCATCTTTCTCCTCCTTCCTTGCTGCTCTGTTGGTGCCGCAGCAAGTGCGATGCACAGTGATTGTTTTCCTTCTCCCGTGCCCCGCCTCTGGCAAAGGTGGCGAAAAGACACAGCGCAGACACACACACATACGAACGCACAATGCAAGGAAGGGAGGGAGAGAGGAAGAGAAAGACAGTGAGTGAAAGAAACGAGTAAAAAAAAGAGGCATCAATGTCACGCAGAAAACTTCACATATGCGCAGCAGCATCAGCACTGCTGTGCCGCACCACTCTTCGGTGCCTACACCGGCTAAGCACTTCAGCACGCAGCCCAAATATTCATCGCAGTGGTGTTGTCGCTGTCGATGGTGTCGTTGCTTCCGTTCTTCATTGAAGCAGCATCTTCTCACTTTTGTCCTACAGAATTTCCCACATAACTCAACGCAATATATATATATATATATATCTTTCTTCGTTTCTTGTTCCTCTTGATGATTTATTTTCTGACGCACTTCCCTCCCCCACTCCCCTCCTTCTCCTCTCTTTTTTTCTCAGTCTCACTTACCCCATCTCATTTGGTCTCGCTTTTCTTCGGATAGAGGCAAGCAACTCTGTAGTCTCAGTCAAAAAAAAAAGAAGCAAGCACGCATCTCACACCTATCAAGTATGCACAGAGCCCGGCATATACACTGTCCCACGAACACGGAAAACGCAGCACATATATGTTACGCCAACTTCTCCGCTACTATTCTTCACCACATCTACTTCCCCAACGTATCTACTTGCAGTTGGAGAAGTTCGGTTTGCAGGCAATGAGAACAATAATAAGAATAACAACACCAACTGAGCCAATAATCATGAGCGTCAACTTTAGGTTCTTCAAGCACATGTTCCGCTTCAGCTCGGTAGACCGCTGCTGAAACTGTTGTGCCTGATCGGCTAGCGTGGTCGACTTCTCATGAAGGGTGTCAATGCGATCGCCACGCGCAAGGACTTTGTCCATGTTGTCCATCATCACGTCTACTACTTGGTTGATATCATCGTTTAACGCCGTGATTTTGTCGTTCTGTGGGTTATTATAGAATTCCATCTTCTGCTGAAGGAGCTTCTTGCCGTTGCGCAGCTCCGTCCCTGGCGGACCAACGTTTCCACGCACGAGTGGCTCAACCGCCTCAAGGAATGAAAAAACCGTCCGCATACGCATATCGTTTGTCGTCACACACGCCACAATGCGGCCCTCACCGTTGCTGATGTAGTGATAATTCACACCACCCTCCTTGTCCTCGATTGTCTTTCGGCGGTACTCCTTGCTGGGGACTGTCGCAATGACCTTCTGCATGGTTTCGGCCAACTTCGGCTGCTCGCCAGGCGGGTACTCAGCGAGCAGCGTCGTGCCGTCATTAATGCAGCTATATTTAATCGGCATCTCTCTTGACTGTTAAAGTAGCACCTCTGATTAGACACACGACAGAACAAATCACGGGAACAACACAGACACCCCAACCCACCCACCCCCCA